ATATATATATATATATATATAAAGAGAGAGCCTTTAAAGAGGTGACTCAATTAAAATGAGGCCATGGGTGGACCCTAATCCAGAATCATTGTGGCCATTACAAGAAGTGGAGGTCAGGATACAGACGCTGGTGGAGGAAGATGGCCGCCTGCAGACCCGGAGAAAGGCCTGAGAACAGAGTCGGCCCTGCTGTGCCTGGCCCCCTGCAACTGGGGACAATGACTTTCTGTGCCTTAAGTCCCCAGGCCGGGCCTTCTGTCATGGCTGTCCAGCACAGGAAGGGGCCTGTGATGGGGCGGGAGCTGCCCAGAGGGCCAGCGGGGCCTCTGCCTTGCACCCCGGGGAGGAGCGGTCGGCACCATGATCCGACTTCCTTCAGCAGAAGGGAGGACCTGGACTGACAGGGGCGAGGGAGCTGGTGAGTGATGACGATGGCTGTGGCTGGAACTGGGGTGCAAGCACCTGGAGCTGGCTTGGGAGCAAAGCTGACCAGTGCCCTGGGGGCTCACCAGCTCTCCTTGTTAGCACAGGGCTCTAACCGGCTGAGCCAAGCAGCTGCAGGCAGTGTTATAGATAACTGCCATAAAGAGTCTCCAGTAAAACCTCTTTATTCCCCCCTAAAAGAGGTAAGAGTTATTGAAGTGCTTAGAAACCTTCAGCAATGAGTCTCAGGAAGAAACAGGATTAGGAGGCTGATTTTCCAGTTTGAAGGGGCATATCTGACTGTTGAGAATTTATGGCAAGAGGACAAGCTCTATCCCAGTTTTCACAGGTGGGCAGGGAGCAGGAGAGCCCGGCCCTGGGTGCCCTGGGGTCTCCCGTGGGCCCTCTGGCCTGCACAGCCCCTGTGTAGGGACTGTCTGCAGCCCACCCATCATGGTGCATGCACTGCACCACCCACAGGCATGGCGTCGGTGGGCGAAAAGATGCATGACGGTGCGTAGGGAATTCACTCAAAAATCATGTGTGAAGGGCCTCCTGTGTGTGCAGCATCATGCATTATGCAGATGAATCAGTCATGACCCTTTCCTCAAGAAACTGATGTTTAGTGGAGAAAAGGTGGACGGACAAATGGACATAATAAAAGACAGAAGGGTACAGAGAAATTTCTGTGGGAGTTCTAAGGAAGAGGGGATTGATTTGGGATGAGGAATCTGCGTGTTTTAAGGGAAGGATCACACAGGGCTTTTAAGGGACAGACTAGTTGAGGAAACTCATCTACAGAAGTGGAAAGAATGTCCGACAGGAAATCCTGAAGAGAGGGAGAGTCTGGTGGGAGGACTTCGTGGAAGAGGTGGGCTTGAGGGGAAGAAGAGGCCTGGTAGGGAAAGGAGGGAGGGTGCGGTGTCAGCAGAGTGCTGATAAGCAGGGGCCAAGATGTGGAGAGGAGCTCGGAGTGAGGTGGACACAGAGTCAAGAGGCCATTCTTCTTTTGAGCCTTTGAACTCAGAGAAAACTGGGGGTGGGGGAGAGGCAGCAGCTCTTGGCTAATGGAGAGGAGGACCCAACGTATGGGAGGGTTCGCCAGCTCCCTGGGCCTGAAGAAGACAGGTGGAGTGCACCTGGATTGGAAAAGTCAAGGGATGTGGAATCCCCATGACTGGAAAGGGGGTGCAGAACCTGCCCGCATCTGAGGCGCCTCCCTTGCAGCAGCCCCAGACCACCCGCCTCACCATGCCTGCTGGTCCCCTTCTCTGCAGAGCAGCCCTACTGGGGAGCAGGGAACAGAGTTTCTCCTCGTTGGGCAGCAGGGAGAGCTCTGCGCGCCCTGCCAGCCTGCCAGTCCAACCTGGGGACACCACATCCCCAGGAGCATGAGCTGCACTCTGGCTCCCAGGACCCTGCTCGCCTTGGTCACCATCTCCTGGCTGGAGTCCAAGAACAGCGAGTGTCTGTCTGTCACACCTGTTGGGACATGCTCCTGCGTGTCCTGAGCAGGCCTCAGCCTGCACCTTGTCTTCGGTGTCCAGAGCCCAGATTCTGTGGTCACTCATTATTCTGATCCCAATATGTTTGATGTCAACCAGCCACCCCAACCAGAAATTAATCACTGTCTAAAACCTAATGAGAAACAGTGCCGGGCAGCACTGGGGATGGATTGCACTGTGGTGAGTGTCTGGGCATGCAGTCCTGTGGGGGGAGGGGGTGCTGGGGGACCGCATACACCCTTCAGATAAAGCCCCCACACCCTGTACCCAGCCTGACATGCCCCTCTATCTCCAAGTGTGTCCAGTGACCCTCCACGACACGTGGCTATAGTGAGACGTGGCTGGTTGGTATCCTCACCCGGGTGTGGTCAGCTGGGGCTGCCATGACAAAATACAGCAGGTTGAAGGGCCTGAAGACAGACACTTGTTTCTCAAAACTCTGTGGAAACCCAGGGCCTCATTCGAGAATCATTCCTGTAGGCTGCCCTCTTCTCCCTCTATCCCCAAAGTTTCCTCCTGGGATTCAGCTGAGTGTAATTGAGGTTTATTGCGGTTTCTGCCTTTTTTTTTTTTCCTCAAAGTTTTTTTTTTTAAGATTTAATTATTTATGCATATTAAGAACTGGGGTACAGATCAGAGGTGCAGTGGGTGAGAGGGTTCACCAGAGAGAGAGTGGGGAGCAGAACAGGCAGCTCGATGAAGTACACTGCTGAGAGGAGAAGTGGGTGAGACAGGAGAGGTCTGCTGCGCCATGTGGGTCAGCTCCCTGGCTGGGAATTGAACTCATGCTGCAGTGGCTGAGGATAGCGTCATAGTCCTGCACTTTAACCCGCTGTGCAACCAGGGAGGGCCCAAGGTTTCTGCTCTTCAGTAAGATCTGGTTCTGGTCTGGCTCCCCTAAGCCCACCTGGTCGGTGCAGGTGTCTCATCTGTCGGGTCTGCATGGACTCTGCTACTTACCTTGTAAGCCCAGACCTAGCTGAGGCTGAGGGACACACCTGTGTGGCCAATGTAGGGCCAATCTCTGTGCCATAAGTTCTAGTTTGCATTGTTCAAGAAGGCTGTGCATTTGGCAGTCCTCAAATCTGAAGGAAAAAAAATGCTTTGTAATATTCTGTGTCCTGGTTTAGGCTTGGAAAATGGGTCACAGTAGGTATGGGAGGACTATACAGAAAAGACAGTGTGGAGCCCGAGTCTCTTCTGTCCATCCCAGCCGCAGAGATCCAAGGACCCAGAGTTGGTGAACTCTCTTGGCTTTACTCCCCATGTGGCTTTTCTGAGTCTTCACCCTCTGAGAGATAAACTTGATATTTCTTTTTGTCGGTAATAGCTTTATTGAGATAGAATTCATATGAAACGCGATTCACCCAGCTAGAGTATACAATTCAGTGGTTTTTAGGATAGTCACAGCATTGTGCGTCCATCACTACGATCCCTTTTTGTCATCCTGCAGGGAAACAGTGTGCGGTAGCAGTCACTCCCCTCGTGTCCCTGACTTACCCCCCCCTCCCACCCAGGCAGCCACCTGCCTGTCTCTGTTCTCTGTCTCTGTGCACCTGCCCTCGGTGGACTTTTTGGATAAGTGGCTTCAGCCAACATGAGGTCTTTTGTGTCCGGCTTATTCACTTGGTGTAACATTTGGAAGGTTCTCATGTTGTGGGCTAAATCCCCAACTTACTGCTTTTTATTATTATCAAGTCATGTTCCATTGTATGGTTGTATCACACTTTGTTTACGCACTTATCCATTGATAGGAATTGGGGTTTTTCCACTGTTTTATCATCATGAATCGTGCCGCTATGGACACGCATACATGTTTTTGTGTGACGATTTTAATTTTGTGACTTCTACCAAAAGAATGAATAAACTCAGCTAGACTTACCGAGTGCTTGCTGTGCCCCGAGGCCCTGTGCTAAGCACTGTACACACACTATTCACATAGTCTTCTCCATAGCCCCAGGAGGGGGCTTTCTCCCCATTTGACAAGTGAAAGTAACCGGGTCTCCCAACTAATGTGGGGTGCAGGTGGGACTTGACCCTCGCACAACACTTACACTACTGCTCTAAAACTGGAGGTACGACTGCACTCCAACCAATCACATTAATTGAGGGGCACGTGGATAGAATTGTATGTGTCCCCACATCTACTAAGACAACCGAGTCTTCAGTTGTCCTACTATCCCTAATGTCCGGTGAGGAAAAGAACTTCAGCAAATCTGCGTAGTTCTGTGTATGACATTGCTCATGGTGTCAGAGGCTGGAGCCAGCATGCCGCAGTATCTCACAGCTGTTCTCCCTCTCCAACCCGGCCTCCTTTAGACCTCCTCAGCTGGGGGAGAGTTTCTCACATGCCCAGAAAGCCATTTTGAAAAGACAGCCACGATCTCACTTTCTTTGCACACATGTGCCTCGTATGCGTGGAGACGTAGACCCGAGAGTATCACTGAGGCCGGGACCTCATGCAGCTGGGACCTCTGGTGGCCTGCCATGGCATTACAGGAGCCCTAAGTGGCTGTCCACAGTAGACTCCACTGCTGTGAGCTGGGACCTCCAGCATGGAAAGGGCTTGCTTTGGTGGCAGCTCCGAGGATGGCAGGGTGGAGAGGAAGATGGCAGGGCAGGAGCTGCCACAAGAGGAAGGCATCAGCGGGGTGTGGTGGGGAGGGACTGAGAGGAAGAGCAACGGCAGAGGGCCGAGTACCCACTGTCTCTCTGTTGCCTGCCCACAGCTGCTATCTTGGATGACCCCATGGAGTGCAGCAGAGGGGAACGGCTCTCCATCACCCTGGCCAAGAACCGCATCAACCGCGCACCTGAGAGGCTGGGCAAGGCCAAGGTCGAGGTGGACATCTTTGAGCTTCTCAGAGACAGCGAGTACGAGACTGCAGAAACCAGTACGTAGAATGGGCAGAACAGCCCTGGTTCCCTTGCCGGCGGAAGTGGGGCTCATGGTTGGGTTGCAGCCATCACCTGGCTTGTGGTGAGGTATCCCTAAGAGAGGGAGAGAAACTTGCACCACCAGCCATACGTGACTCTTAGTCTGGATGAACTGTCCAGGTTTTATTGCAAATCACGTATAGAGTAGAATGGATACAGAATGCCACGCATCGGTCATTATTTCATTCCTTCCTTCCAATGAGGACCCGATCATTTCCTGGACCTGCTGTACCTGTGTGTGACTAAGAATGAGGGTCCCATGGTCCTTGCACGTCAGATCTTGTGCTGCAGCAGAGTTGTGGGAATAAATGGGTCCTGTGGTGGACTTTGACCTCACTCTGTGGGTAACCGTGGACCAAGTTTAGCCTCAGTTTATCTATCTGTGAAGTGGAAGTGCTAACCTCTATGTGGCAAATCTTGCAATTAGTGAGATCTAAATGACTAAAAGTGTGTAAAATCCTCCATTAAAAAAAGATTTATTTATTTTTTGCATACAGAACTGTAGTAAAGAACTGGGGTACAGGCCAGAGGTGCAGGGGCAGTAAGAGGATTCACCAGAGACAGAGTGGGGAGCAGAACAGGCAGGCTGACGAAGTACATTGCTGAGGGGAGCAGCAGGCGGGTCAGGAGAGGTCTGTTGTGCCATGTGGTCACCTCCAGGGTGGGGATCAAACTCATGCTGAAGTGGCTTTAGCTGCTTAGTGCTATGCTTTAAACTGCTGAGCCACCAGGGAGGGCCAAGTTGCATTTTTTTTTTTAAAGATTTATTTATTTGTGCATACAGAACTGGGGTATAGGCCAGAGGCTCAGGGGCGGCGAAAGGCTTCACTAGAGACAGAATGGGGAGCAGAACAGGCAGCTCTATGAAGTACACTGCTGAGGGGAGAGCGGGAGGGTCAGGAGAGGTCTGCCATGCCATGTGGTCACCTCCGGGGAGGAGGGAATCGAACTCATGCGGAAATGGCTTTAGCTTCTCAGTGCTGTGCTTTAACCCACTGCGCCACCAGGGAGGGCCCCAAGTTGCATTTTTTTTCCAAGTTGCATTTTTTATACACACATATAGTCGGTCTCTAATGTCACCACTGTGCACAGCGCACTACTAATTCTCCCAGCAACCTGATAAGTGTTACTACCCGTATTTTACAAAAGAAACTGTGGCTCAAAGACAGTGAAGAACTTGCCCAGCACAGAACTAATTCATGGCTCAGTGGGTCTGGGGCCTAAGCTCAGTCTTTCTGCCCGCAAGTCCAGGGCCCCACCCACCTCTCCTCCCTGCACTCTCTGGTGCGTTGCTGATATTGCCTGGACCACTTTACCCAGTGAGCGGGTGGCTTAGAGCTAAGCTGGAATAGCTCCAATTTGGGGTTGGGGGAGGAGAGGAGCTCCCTCAACTTTGAGGATGGTAATGATGATTCCCCAAGACCTTAAGATGTCCCTGACTCCTCCCTTTTTAATCAATTTCAACCTTTAAGAACACTTAATGGAACAAACAAGCAAGCAAAACAAAATAACAGAACAGCTTACCCAAATATTATGTTAGATGCCTGGTCTTCTGTGTATGAATCCAGCAGTGATCTGTTCTGAACTGTGTGTGTTAAAAGAGAAGAAACACTGGGTAGACAGGTATGGTGAGCACCCAGAGAGGACAGGGAGGAGCAGCCAGGCTTCCTGTCTGGCTCATAGTTTCTTCAGCGCTCCTACGATGTTGAATCCGCGCTCTGCTCTCTTTACTACGTTGGTTTTCTGGCTTACTCATTGTGCACTTGCCCCAGAATGGTCATGCAGGTGTGACTTTCTTGTTTATTTATTCAGGAAAATTTTATCGATCATTTCATGTAGTCCTGGCATGATTCAGGATATCGTGTATAGGGAACAATACAGAAAAGCAGACAGACACATCCTTGCCCTTGCCTGACTTACAGCCCCTCGTCGTGAGCACATCACTGGTTTCCCTCAGTGCCTCTTGGTGTGGATTCCCAGTAGAGGATCTGATTGGTCCAGCTCACCTTGCTGTGGTTGGCCTCACAAGTTGACCAGATGACCTGATGCTACCCTTGGGGCCAGTGTCCATTTCCAGAGACTGAGAGTGGGTTCCTACATACAGAACCAATGGACCCAGATTCCCCCAGAAGTGGGCATGGGGAACCAATTCTTGAAGTGGTCATTCATTCCTGCACTTTTTCAATCAGTATATCTTTAGCGGGTGCCTGTTACACTCTATTCTAGGCAATGGGGACTCCCTAGAGAACAGATAAAAATCTCCATTGTCAGTAGAGGGTAAGTTCTAGTACAATTCAAGGAAGATTCAGATTTCTCTGGGTTTCCCAAGTGAAATAAGAAATAGCAATGACTTCTTGTGAATCTCCCTATCCAGTCTGTAGTATTTTTGACCAGTCTGGACCGGTCTCAGATGATGGTCCAGATTGCTAAATAGTTCTGAGTTCATACTTTGAAAAATCATCTCCTCCTTCCTTTTCCTTGTTTCTTGAGGGTCTCCCTGGCAGAACAGAAAGCACACTTGACTCATTGTGGCTGGAGGTCATTAGCAGATGTAAATTTCCTCTCCCAATGACCCATGAAGCCAAGCTTAGTAAAGTCAGTATATCTAAAATACTGAGCCAGATGAATCAAGGGAATAAAGGAAACTGATGTCTTTATTCCACATTACAGAGCTTTGGGGCATCTTCAAATACCCTTCTTTTAGGTACCAAGTATTTTATTAGCTAGCGCCCCTTCATTCAGCTTTTACACCTCAATTTGTTTGAGACATGACTAGCATTTGTTAAAAAAGAGGGCTTCTGGATATTTCTAGCCTAGAGGCCTTTCATCTGAAACCAGAGCTGCTCCCCACAATGGATTTTAAACACCCAGGTAGTTCATAGAGAGTTTGCAGTCCAGCCCTTTCCCTGCCAAATTAAGATTATGAGTGGGTGACGGGTCCTTGCTATTAGCTGAAGCAGTTTTGGGAGAAGGGAGGCAGGAGAGAGACAGCATGCCTGGCAGAGACAGGGGCAACACCCATGGGAGCCCTGCTTTGGGGACCCTGTACAATGGAAAGATCAGGGCTTAGCTTTTACAATGAGACTGACCGCCTTGAAGTCCTGCCTCTACTATTTACGAGCTGCGTGACTGTGTGAGGCTACTCAACCATTTTATGCCCTAGTTCCCTTGCTCATAAAGTGGGGATGAAGGGCATTTCTCCTTGGGGGTCATTCAGAGCACAATTTGACACAGGGTCATGGAGGGGCCAAGCACCAGGCAGGTAACAGGTATTTGGTAAGTGGCAGCCGTGGCTATGTCTTGACTTTGTTCTCTCATTTTCCCTTTGAGCTGACTGCCTCCCCCACCTCTTACTCTCATCTCCCTCTCTTCTGTTTCAAAGTTCAGCCACCCTACAAGGCAGCACACCTAGCTTCCGACCCCTCTCACAGGGCCCGTCTTGCTGTCAGCGTGTCTGTGGGACTGTCTTCATCACGGGCTCTTCCCCTTCCCGACGTGATGCCTCTGACAGCTTTGGGTCTGTGGAAGTTGCAGGGGACCACCCCAAGGTCCTCCCCCCCCCACCCCGTTACATGTCATATTGTTAAAGGAGGCATGATGTTCCCTGCCCCCCACTTACACTCAGCCTCCCTGAACTAGCTGCTGGGAGCTAAAGGCACAACTGAGCAGCTAGGTGAGCTGATAGAACTCAGAAGGTAGCGGGGTGAAAGGTGGCTTTTGCTTCTGTAGCCCAGCTGGCACTGCTGGAGAGGGTCCTTGAGAGAGACTTGTGAGGGAGAGATGTGTAGAGACTTGGAAGAGACACGTGGGAGGGAGATATGAGGATGACTGAGGTTCTCTTGATGTGTATCGCCTTTTGTCCCAGCTTTCTGAGACCTGCTTCAGAACCTCTTCCCTACGGTTCCCTGCCAGAAAGCATCTTAGACTGTGCCAAACTTTCAGGCCTCAGCAGCCCATTTCCCACCTGCCCTGTCTGACTAGACATTTGCCCACGAGGGGGTGGATAATTTTGAGTGTATCCTTGGGAAACACTTATTAGTAACATCCTCTCTTCTTTTACCTCTTTGTGCAACATCAGTTCTATTAAAGTTCTTACACATTGAGAGTTTACTTTGCCTGAAAGTGCATAAGTTTGGGGGCCCCTGGGTACCCCTTGGCTGTGTGCTAACAGAGCTGTGGCTTCACTTGGCTGGTGGCCTAGGGCTAATTTGCATTGTTCACTTAAACCCAGTTGAGTGGCTCTGGGCCCTGAACCTGTCGGCCTGCAGTCAGGGCCTGGTCCGAAAGCAGGATCCTACAGTGTATGGGCGAGCCTACTTTCAGTCACACTTACTGAATTATGTCCGGGCGGGCATGGCAGTCAAGGGCAGCAATGGCTATTTCAGGATCAGAAATTTTGAGTTGTAGAGAAATGCAAAGCGCTGAGTCCAGAGTCCACACTTCTCATTTGATGGTTGAAAACTAGGATCGGGGCGGGGTGGGTGGAAAGTACCACCGCCAACATTAATTAATCTCAGCCCTGCATGCTGGAAAGGTGTCTGCAGAAAATCACCCTTCTTCATTTGCTCCATCTGGGTTTCATAGAGTGGTTTCTGTAAAAGGAGGGTGCTCTGCAAGTCTCCTTCAGATGCAGGTCTGACTCCTTCCACCTCTGCCCTCTGCCACTGTTGCCTTGGGCTTCTTGATGTTTGACTTTCCAACTCCCTCTACACAGCCCACAGCTCTGAAACTAGAGGAATGGAGAAGACAACTAGGTCACCCCTTCCTGCCTGCCCGTTCTTTGCCTTTGTCTCTCTATCTTATCTCCCTCTCAGCCTTTCTAGTGCAGGAAGCTCCCACCAGGCCTTGCCCTCCTCTGTTCCGCAGATCAGTGTCTCTGCACCTAAGTTATTAGAGCTTAACTAAGCGCCCACCCAGCGCCCACCCTCTTATCACCCAAACACCCGGAGGCACCACG